CCGTGTGTATCTTTCACTGGAATGGTTGGTATATGTAATTGCCGTGTGTATCTTTCACTGGAATGGTTGGTATATGTAATTGCCGTGTGTATCTTTCACTGGAATGGTTGGTATATGTAATTGCCGTGTGTATCTTTCACTAGAACAGTTAGTGTATGTAATTGCATTGTGTTTCCTCCACTAGAATGGTGTATGTATGTATGAGATTTTTGTATTGTTGTTTTGATCTCACCATTAATGGTATGAAGCTCTACATTTTCCTTGTCACTGTTGTTCTACAAGATATGTTGTATTTATCTAAACAGAGAAATAAACCAGTTTCCTGAAATGAAGAACAGTAGATAAAAAATAGTAATACAACAGTGGAATAAGAATCTGTGTGAAAGAAACTCAAAAGGAAAATAACTGTAATCTCGTAAAGTGTGGGAAGATAAAATGTTCTCAAAAACTACGTTCTTTATATTTGTCTTAAAGTAGCAATGGTTTCAGTTGGGTTTTTTTCTTCTAATTTTGTTGGTATATATGAAACAAAACAAGTAGTAGGACTTAGACTTAAACTATATTTAATTAAGTTTCAAATGAAATCCTGTTAAAAGTAATGTAGGTGATGTATTTGATAAACTGAGAGAGTTTTTGCTGCATGATTATTATTTAGTTCATGTATGTATATATATATTGTATTTCATTAATTTTTTTTTCAACAGTTGAAAGGCGTAGAAGATTCAACATCAATGATCGAATTAAAGAGCTTGGAACCCTCTTGCCAAAAAACAATGACCCGTAAGTAATCTTCCTGGATTCAAAAGTGTAGGCAGTGTTATTTTTAATCAGCTTTTTTTTTTCATAGAACATTCCAGTATGTTCTGTATTACTCAGTAATTCATGACTAGGATTTCAAGATGTCTGAGTAATTCAGCCTTGGACGTTACTAATAGTGTCAGTTTACACTGGGTCAAATTATTCTTTGCAAGTTCAAATTACACTGATGTCTTTGTTAAGTTCCAGAAAAGCCCTCTCATTGTCTGTGGAGAAACAAAGCTTCTGAGATTACTGTCTTGCATGTAACAAGAGGAGGAATACTATCTACAAGGTGGTCTTAAACACATTGTATCAATACACTCTTTAAATAATGTTCACTGTTGGATTAGGTGAAGTTTTTCCATTAACTTTAATAAAAACATAAACAAGAGTACCTGGAGGACAAATGACACTTTATACTGTTTCTGAGGTTTATTCGTGTCACGAACTACATGCTAAAGAATGTTAGATAAAACAAAACTTCCTCTCCATGTGTTTCCTAAGTGTAAAAAAGTTTGAGCAGATATCCATCCCCCTTAGGATAAATTGTATTTATCTCACAGATAAGCTTGTAATACTCACTCTTATAGTTAAGTTAGAAAAGCTTGTTGTCTAGAATTTCGTTTCTTTTATGCCACAGTTGATAAGATAGGTCTTAAGGATAAAGCAATCACCACTTTACATGAGAATTAAATAAAAAATGTAATCAGAAAGACGAATACTGTATCCTTTCTCTGTCAAATGGATTATCAAACATTTCATTTTGAGTAAGATTTAAGATATAAATAGGTATTTAAATGTTGCACTCAAGTCTTGTGTCCAATTTACATAATAATATTAGCCATTCACAAAGCTGTAAGTTAATACAATGGGCAGTGTTAATATATGTAAGGGAGAAGAAGAAGAAGAAAAATTTAAGTTTTATGTATCTATAACAATGTTCAATCAGTAGATATTGAAGGTTATAACACTGAACTTCAGGATTCAATCCCTACAGTGGACACAGCACAGATTGTGCAACTTTCCATTTAATAGTAAACACTTATTTATTGTATCAAAAATAAATTGAAAGTAATTTCTTTGCGTGTTCAAAATGCTTGTTTTAACAGAGTTTTTAACATTAATCTTAAAGATTTATATGCGTTTTAAGTACTTTTATTTTCAAATTGTTAAGGTTTCATTTATTCCATTGTAAGATTAATTTAATGAGAGGACTAATTTTGAAAATGATCTCTTAAATTCAAACAAATTTTTGTTGTTGTTATTGTTAGAATGAAATAGAATTTAAGTTATTTTTCTGTTATATGTACTGTTGATATTAATTTAGTATGGTTCGATAGTGTAGATCGGTGTTACTATCGGTGGCTTGGAGTTTTTCTGTAACCTTGTATTTGATAGCATTTCAAGAGTTGACAGTTTATCTTCCTAAATTTTGTTTCTTATTTTTTTAGAACAAACTCAGTCTTTTATCTGGCATCCTTTTATATCATATCTGTTGGAGGGTGTCACCTTTGTTAAAGCAAGACCAACAATAACATGGCATTGTTTTAGATAGACCCTAAATGATAAAACACACAAAAAAAGAGAAAATTGAATAAACAGTAACCTTCCTATCTTCTGTTATCAGATACTTAGATTGGTAGGTGAGCTAATGAGACATATTGGTTGTTTACCACAACTACTCGGTGACTAGGATTTTTTTTTCCCCACTAGCTCATTCCTTTTTCTGAAAGTGATACATCTTGATGTATAATATATTATCTATAAGATTGACTTTTACAGATATCAGTCATTTATCATAATGAGACAGTGGAACAATGAAACATGATTGGTTTATCATTTACTAGACCATAACAAGAGAACTTTGTATACAAATGTTATTTAGAAATGAGATGATATTTTAAGTTGTTTGTTTTTGTGTAAAACTTGAAGAGGAGCACACATGCAGTGCTCTGGAGATAATATTTACATTTTTAGCATACAACTTGGTTATGGTAATGATTAAACTTAGAATTATCAGTTTAGGTTTCGGACTTATATTTATTAGTCATATTTTTTTACACAGATTCAATATCTGTGTCCATTGTAATTGACCAGCTTCATGTTTAATGTTATACTTATGTGCATGTATATGTTTAAATAAAAAAAAACTTTTGGTTGTACCTGAGGCATTTGTCTCTAGGCAACCTACCTCAGATTAAAAGCTAAGATCATAGAAGAAGAATTCTAAAGTTTGATAAAACAAAAACCATCACATTTTCAGGTTATCTGTAATAGAGGTCTGAAGTATATCAGACATTCTCACTCCATTAACAAGTATCTTTTACAATTCCATGCGAAGTGGAATATGTGTTTTCATTTACAGATCCAAGACAAACAAGCTACTATTTTTTCTCAAGTAATATTTTTGAATCAGTGTTAGTATAATCCTTTGCATAGATTCTAAGAGACACATACGTTATTTTTGACAAATGATAAATACATTTAGAAGCTATGCTTTTTTTTTATGTTGTATTTCAACCTTTGGTTGAAATTTTAATTGAATGAATGAGAGAGAGAAGAATTTAGAAGAGTATTTATCTGTAGGAAGGAAAGATCTTTTATATTCTAAACAAAACACCTAATATAAAAGATGTCCAAAAAAACAACACTCAGCGAAACAGTACCTTCCATTTGCCTGCATTGTCTCATTTTTGTTTTATATATGATAATTTCAGCTTCACAATTGTGGTAAACCTAACACTAAAATGTTAAGTAAAATAGATATGGGTTTGTCTTTCAATTTCAAGTGATAAAAAGAGAGCTAAAATATTCCTGTGAAGGCTATGATATGAAAATTATCAGTTTTTATCAAAGCAAGCTACTTAGGTAGATCAGAACTAAAAAAAATAATCCAGTAAATAAGGTAGTTAAATTAACATACCAGTCTGACTTGAAACGTGCAGTGTCATAATGATTGTGATGCATTATTTCATCAGTTGGGTACCTTCACTGTTACAATTGTTTTTGGCCATAATCCTAGTAATATCTCTTAATTTTTGACCAGCTTAGGGGATATTACAGATTAGTTTTAAATCCATAGAGTAAGCTAACAGTGCAAGATAATCCTCATAATAAATTAAAAGTATTTTATATTAAGCAATTTAACATACGCTGTTCATAAAAATTAGGGCCTGGCATGGCCAGGTGGATAGGGCACTTGACTCGCAATCTGCAGGTCATGGTTTTGAATCCCCGTCCCACCAAACTTGCTCACCCTTTCAGCCATGGGGCATTATAATATGATGGTCAGTTGCACTATATTATATTCATGGATAAAAAGAGTATCCCAAGAGTTGGTGGTGAGCGGTGATAACTATCTGCCTTCCCTCTAGTCTTTCGCTACTACATTAGGGACAGCTAGTGCAGATAGCCCTTGTGTAGCTTTACGCAAAATTCAAAACAAACAAACATAAAAACTAACATTAAAGCAAAATAAATAGAACCTTATTTATATTAAAAACTAGTTGTTGGATTCCCGCACTATCAGTAATTCCCTGCCTTCAGATAAGTGGTGAAACAGAATGTTTTGATTTTACAAATTTTATTTATTGTCCTTGTATCTTATAATGTCACCTCAGTTGTGGTCTTCCCGAATACAACATGCATTAAAGTTATTCTGAATGCGTTTGACAGCAATAATTAAATACGTATGCTTTTAAATCTGTCTTAAGCAATGTTCTCTGATCACAGTGGCTCTCTTGCAGACATTTTGACCTGGTTCGTGACCTCCGGCAAAATAAGGGTACAATCCTCAAGGCCTCGGTAGATTATGTGTGCTGCTTGAAAAAAGAAGTCCGTAAAATTCCTCAAATGGAACAGAGACAGAAACTGCTGGAACAACAAAACAAGAAGCTTCTTCTTAGAATACAGGTTTGCATTTTCAGTAAGAGCATTTCTCATCACAACTAGACTGTCACATATAACCCTTTTGCTTATAGTCCATATGTTAGCCACTAAAAGCTTAAAAAGCTGTGGTTAAAGTCTCTATAAAGCTTTGGAACTAATAGTTTTCTAACTGTTCACTTTTGAAAATTTTTTTGCATATAAGAGAAAATTGTGCATTATGAAATATCAACTTTAAGAAAGTCTTGAGATTTTTTGCTATGGTTGTTTAAGAATGACTGTAAAGGAAAAATTGAAGTATGAAATAAATGCCAAAAAAAGTGAGAAGTAGACCTGAAGTCTCAAGAGAACGCTTGTTCCAGTTGGTTTGTTCTTTAAGGGCTCGGCATGGCCAGGTGATTAGGGTGCTGGACTCTCAATCTGTAGGTCGTAGGTTCGAATCACCAGCCCACCAAACATGCTCACACTTTTGGCCGTGGGGGGCGTTATAATGTGACAGTCAATCCCACTATTCATTGGTAAAAAGAGTTGGTGGTGATAACTATCTGCCTTCCCTCTTGTCTTTCACTGCTAAATTAGGGACAGCTAGTGCAAATAGCCCTCATGTAGCTTTGTGCAAAATCCATAACAAACAAACAAACTGTTCTTTAATGAGTAAGTGTTTACTTTAACTACTATTAAAGGTTGTTTTATTTTTTGTACTCCATTAGATTTATTGCTTCATTACTTCCTATATAATATACCATTTTTTCAATAATAAGTGTGTGCCCATTGCCAAATTAATCATCAGTGGGGCCCTTAGCATTTTTAGAAGACTTGGGCCCCTGTCTGCCAGAAAATATGTTCTTTACCACCATTTTAATTTTTAAACTTTATTATGACTGATACAGTTTTATTCAATTTTCTCAAACCTTTGGTAGTAAATGAGAAACATATTTATATCAAAATATTTCTTTTATTCATGATAAATTATCTATAAAATAAGTATCAGTAATTAATCTTTCTCTTGAATGAATAAGCTGACAAACTCTCAGTTTTTTATTACAAACCAGCTTTCGACACTTTTGGCAGCAAAGTCATTGTTTAGAGTAGAGGTGCAAACCTTGCAAAGTAAATTGTACTCAATACCCATCAAAGTGAGCATATTCGAACAATCTTGTCCATAGTTGGTTGCAGCTAATTTTTTTATACAGTGTAGTTTGGAAACTGAGATATATTCTCAGAACAATTTCCACATCGGGAAAACATGATTTCAAATGATTATCAGTTATCAATCAAAACTTGTGCAACTGGAGCTTTGGGTGATTCAAAATAAAAGTATTTGCTTTGGAGCTGCTCTGTTCTTTTTTTTGCTCCAGGAGCACTCCAAAGCTCTGGTGGATATGACGCAAATAGATTTCTGTAACATTTTGAATTTTTTTTTTTTTCATTTTTTAACAATCTTATTCAAATATGTTAAAAACATATATTTCTTATGGGTGCAGGGACTGTGGCATTTGCTACTTATGCTAACAAGCTAATCTGGCACAGTGTGTGAAATATGTGAAAGACATGCTAGAAACATTCTATACCTTTCATTAGGCTACAAGAATCTGCTTCCTTGTTACTATGAAGTGGCCATTTTATCAAGAAAACTGTTTGAGACAACTCTGTTGTTTATATTACCACTACAAAATATTATATTAGAGAAAGTATTATTAAAATAACAAAATAAAATAAACTTTCTTAACTTGTGTACCCTTAATTATTTATTGAGTTGTATTAAGAAAACTGCGTAACTGTCATTTAAAACAAACACTTACAATAATGAAAGGTAAAAACAAGTGGTTTTCTCAGGTTCACAGATTTTTCCTTTAAGTGAAAAGGTTTTGCAGAGATTGAACTGAATTCTCTTGGTTTTTGACTGTGTTTAGAATAAAGAAAGAGACTAGACAACATAACACACAGTGAAACAATGTTTATTCAGTACACAACACACACACAATGAAAGCATTTAGTGTAGGTTGGAAGCTTTTAGAGATCTATTGAAGAACTTGCAAAGTTTGTTCGAGATTGAGAAAACATAGCAACCTATACAAAAGAATATAATGTTATTTTTCTTAGGTCATGTGCAATATATTACTTTTGAACATTCCTATGGAAAAGGTCAATGCCCAACTTTACAGCAGTCTTTCCCATGAGAAAGTGCATGTGATACCTAGGAGAATAATGCAGAACAAATAACTAGAGCAAAAGGAGATCAGCCACTTCCTTGGCCACTGTTATACTTTTAAACCTACATACAGTTGTATTTTCAAAGATGTTAGATGGATCTTTAAGAAAATAAAGAAGGTAGAAAACACACAGTATGTCTGTATTCTACACTACTCTCTAACCCAAAGTTGCAAATTCAAGACTTACTGATGGCTTTATATAAACAAGTACCATGTGATCATCAACATATAAATGGCTAAAATAGAAAGTATATGTGTTTGAGTATACACTACTTGTCTATTTGCACAATTATGAAAACATGTTTTTATTCGTATTTACGTAGTCTTGCTTCTGTTTTGTTTTTTGTTATCTTTACTACACGTGAAATATGTTTGAAATGACACTTGCATACACTTTGAAGTTTTGAATGTCATGTTTTATATGGCGAATTCAAGAGTAAGAAGTCACTGCTAAGAATACCGATCATTTCCATGAAAATTATTTGTAAGACCCAGAACGATGGGTATTGTATACGAGACATTACCTAAGACATCATGAGAAAAATATCAAATAAGAAACTATTATACTGAAACACAAACAGACTGTGAAAATTAAATTGCTGTGCAATGTGTAATTTTAAAATTTCTTGAACAGCCAACATAACAAAATAAATTTACGATAGAAAAACAAACGGTTAAAAGTTTTAACACTAAATGTTATCATGAACCAACTTTTACTGGGCAGTATTTTCGTTTTGATCATTTTTTTACCCTTTGAATTTAAAAAGAACTTAATTCAGAATTTAATTTATCGGACTTAAAACATAGTTAGTTCTTTTTCCGGATTCCACGAAGAAGTACAAAATTTACTGCATGTATATTCTACCATTCACAGGTAAACCTTCAATAGAATTAAATAAAAAAAATTAAAGTGATTTTGAAGAATATAATTTATTGACAAATTAAGTTTAGAATTATTTTTAAACCGATATTTCGTTTAAGAAACTCAGCATAAAATTCAACAAACAAATATCAGAAGATTTTTGTTATATTTTACAATTTGTAGTTTAGTCATCACAATTTTTAATTGCCCAATTACAATAAAATACAGGTGTTGTATAGTTCATTAATATTTTCTTCCATTTTATATCCTTACATTTTACTAATAAGTACGATATTTGCTGGTGTATAAGATGATACTTTTAATTCTTAAAATAATGCCTGAATTTTACCCCTCATCTTATACACAGGTTCATAGATAGAGTTCCATTAAGAACTCTCGGGTTAATAGCATATTTAACCAAAATTACATTGTTCGTTTTACTTTTGTTTGATTTTTTTGAGTAAGTGTGTTGACATCATGCTATCTACTACGTTACAATAACATATTTGTAACTGTATCATTTCTCACGATTTTTCTTAGGTAGAAGTTATTCATCTCGTATGCTGATTACAATTAATCAAAACATTTTTGATTTGAAATATATTGTTTTCATTCGTCATACTAAAATATTGCTAATATTCTAACAACAAAAGTTAGTTTCTGTAACATACACTAATTTTGTTAACATGTTTTTATAGTAGATCACTATATCTTTAGGTTTAGTATTTTTTGTGTAATATAAAAGGAGTTTAACTGTGATGAAAACTTTGTAAAGTTGTTTATTACATGTTTGTGACTTAAGTTATGGTACATTGAGCTGTCTGTAGCGTTGGAAGAGCATAAAAAACTTGTGGTCATATTGATTACCCCAGAGGGCACACTTTAAAAATAGCTTCTAAGTGTTTCTTTTTAAAAGTTAATCCAATTATTTATACCGTACAAATCTTGGAGCTTTCACTTAAAATTAACAATGAGTATGAACCACTGTATGTATCATATTTGCTGGTGTATGATATGATCCCATGTACAAGACCACCCTGGATTGTTTGAACAAATTAAGTGTATTTCTTTGAGGTTCAGTGTACAGGATGATCTCTATTGCCAAGCAAGACAAAAGTATGTCGCTTTGATCTAGTATTCATGTTATGTATTATGCTGTACAGTTCCTGGAGCTTTGATCTAGTATTCATGTTGTGTATTATACTGTACAGTTCCTGGAGTTTTGATCTAGTATTCCTGTTGTGTATTATACTGTACAGTTCCTGGACCTTTCATTTAGTACTCTTGGTATGAATTATTCTGCAAGAACACGGGTCCAGGAACTGTACAGTATAATACACAACAGGAATACTAGATCAAAACTCCAGGAACTGTACAGTATAATACACAACAGGAATACCAGATCAAAACTCCAGGAACTGTACAGTATAATACACAACAGGAATACTAGATCAAAACTCCAGGAACTGTACAGTATAATACACAACAGGAATACCAGATCAAAACTCCAGGAACTGTACAGTATAATACACAACAGGAATACCAGATCAAAACTCCAGGAACTGTACAGTATAATACACAACAGGAATACCAGATCAAAACTCCAGGAACTGTACAGTATAATACACAACAGGAATACTAGATCAAAACTCCAGGAACTGTACAGTATAATACACAACATGAATACTAGATCAAAGCTCCAGGAACTGTACAGCATAATACATAACATGAATACTAGATCAAAGCTCCAGGAACTGTACAGTATAATACACAACAGGAATACTAGATCAAAACTCCAGGAACTGTACAGTATAATACCAAACAGGAATACTAGATCAAAGTTCCAGGAACTGTACAGTATAATACACAACAGGAATACTAGGCTGGTATGTAGCCGGAATACTAGGTCATAGCTCTAGTAGCTGTACAGTATGGTACATAGCTTGAATACTAGGTCATAGCTCTAGTAATTGTACGTAGCTGGAATACTTGGCCATAGCTTTAGTAATTGTACAGTATTGTACGTAGCTGGAATACTAGGTCATAGCTCTAGTAGCTGTACAGTGTTGTACGTAGCTGGAATACTAGGTCATAACTCTCGTAGCTGTACAGTATTGTACATATCTGGAATACTAGGTCATAGCTCTAGTAATTGTACAGTATTGTACGTAGCTGGAATACTAGGTCATAGCTCTAGTAATTGTACAGTATTGTACGTAGCTGGAATACTAGGTCATAGCTCTAGTAGCTGTACAGTATTGTACGTAGCTGGAATACTAGGTCATAGCTCTAGTAGCTGTACAGTATGGTACATAGCTGGAATACTAGGTCATAGCTCTGGTAGCTGTACAGTATGGTACGTAGCTGGAATACTAGGTCATAGCTCTAGTAATTGTACAGTATTGTACGTAGCTGGAATACTAGGTCATAGCTCTAGTAATTGTACAGTATTGTACGTAGCTGGAATACTAGGTCATAGCTCTAGTAGCTGTACAGTATGTACGTAGCTGGAATACTTGGCTATAGCTCT